AGGAAACGAGATTAGACAGGATAAAGCAGTTAAATTATCCAGGAGTTTTCACTACAGGGCATAACTTGGCACTGAAATCATCAGCATTAGCAATCAGGCTTACTTCGGTTAACTTATAACTTTCGATGGAGGAATAAATCATGTATAGTATCAAAAACAATTAGAACAGGGATCTGTCAAAAACCACCGACGACAATTCAGAATCACCTACTAACATAAAACCTAAAATCAAGATGAGATTCATGGAATGAGTGATGACGTCTTAAAAATTCCATTATCCAATCCCTCAAGGAAAACATTGAGCACATAAAAAAAAATCTTTCCAAATGTCAGCATTTGACACAAATTAACAGATTTTCGACATAAAATCTTTGATTGCCAAAAACGAAAAACAAAAAATTCAGCAGCTAGAACCAGTTCCAATCCAATCATGACACACACAAATAGATCTCTAATTCGATCAAAAAAAACAACTATAGTTTTAATTGGTAGAAATGTCAATCAGAAAAGGAAAGGAAAAAAAAATATGTAGATAGATGTAAAAAAGGAGCAAAAATATTTTACCACATGACGGCACAAAGGCCTTTGCCAGTGACAGTGTGCCAGCGTTTGGGTTGATGCAAAGTAACGCCTTTGTACGTTACGCCATGGCCGTGTCCTCCTGCCATTTTCTTCCTTTTTCTCCTTCTCCCGAATTGTAGATTGGATTCCTAGGGCTGAACTGATCAGAAAACTATACGCGATTTGGGGAAGAAGAGGAAGTGGAGATCAAAATGGTAATTTAGGTACACCCCCGAAGTTAGGGGAAATCTCAAATATGCCCCTTCACTGTTCCTTATTTACCGACTCGCCCAATCTATTCGTGGGCCGAATCATATGGGCGAGGCTGATTAAAAGTATGATTGGGTTGGGCATTTCCGTGGGCTTTCACGTATTTCGTCTTTGAAAGTTGAAACATAGTCTTACAATGGGCATATTACAACCACTTCCCCGTGGTGAAGTCTAATTACAAACAACCCCTTATTTTTGATAAATTACATCCAGCCCCTTGTAGTTTGTAAATTTCTTACGTCCATCCCCATGCTAAAGGGTGTTAATGTAGAAATCCACATATTGCAAGGGGTGGATGTAATTTTGGAAAAACGAGGGATTTTTTCGTAAATAGACTTTACCTCGAGGGGGCAATTGTAATATACCTTCAATTAAATTATATAAAAAACAAAATTATCCTGAAAAAAAAATCCTTGAATTCATACACTCAAATTTCACATGATTAACTGTCAATTACAATTACATGTACCACAAATTCATAAAAAAAAAAAAAAAAAAAAAACCATAGGCTGGCCAATAGTGTCAATAACTCTCATAGTCGACATGAAGAAATTGATTTTCTTGTTAAAAAAATAAAAATAAAAATAATAATATAAATTGGGCATCTACATAGATAAAGGAAGCATCATCCTTCGCTTCTTCTTCCGGGTTAGTCGTATCTGCTTGGTAATTTTCATGAATAAGAGTAATATCAGGGTAATGCAGAATAAGATAATAGCTACCCTCAAATGCCTAAAATATAACGAAACTGCTGAGAAGACGAGGAAAGCTAGAATAACCAGCTCCCATATAACAAAGATCGCAACATCAACCCTGCATCCAGAAAGGAAAGAGATTTATTACATTAGAAGCCATAAACTGTGTCGATTTATGAGAATGAATGATAAATCATAAAATGGATAATCGGAAAGAAGGTGCTGTATATTTCTGACAAAGAGTTACGACGTGGGTGAAAAGATTAACAAGTAAAGCAATGACTTGTAAACACAAGTAGAGAACATTTCGAAGAAATGACAGTACCGACCAACTAGTAGTTTGAAATTTAAAAAAAAAAAAAATCAAATTCAATGATAATGTTGACCAATTTCCAAAAATAAAATCAGCTTATTAGGATCCATGTACCAAATGCAACCAACTCGGATAATTTGACTTTCTGTAGTTATCTGAAAAGGAACCGCAGCCATTATACGATGCCTTTTCACAATTGTCACGAGTCCTTCCATCATTAGAGTAATAGTAATATAATTCTCAAAATAAGTAAGGAGAGTCCTGACCTTGAGGTCACTGAAAACTGAGTCGAGGAAACAACTAATATCCACAAAAGGGATCTAATTTCTTACAAGCCTGGTCGTGAACTCGTGCTCACCCTATTATTCATTGACATAATAGTTTACAATTACGGCGATAACTCAATTCCACGTGACAATGTAGAAAGTTGCAAACAAAACTTTATTATAGCTTATGCAGATTCACGTCTTCTCATAAATCCTTGAACTGGCTTCTAGATTCAGTTTCCCCTACTGATCTATTTTTTCCTTTTTCATTCCATGGTAAATGCTCTTGGATAGCTGTGTTTTAGAAATTTTAATAAAGGGGGT